TCTTCAATACTTGATGTTGTTGTTGATGTTGTTGTATTATTATTTGTTGGTCGTGAATCAGCTGAACGTGATCGTAATGTTTCATTATTACGTGATGATGATGATGACGAATCAGGTTGAAGAACAAATGTTGAACGTAAAATTGAATCTGTTGCATTTAAAATATTATTATTATTATTATTCGGTATTTGATTATTGATATTTGTATTATTTGGTACTTGTTGATTGACCATCTGAGCAAAATGTTCTATAAAATCCGAAAGAAAGAAAAAAAACACATATTCATTTTATTTTTGCGAAATGATTAAATTATAATACGAACGTTGAACACTATTTGATACACGTTGTGCAATTTCAGCAGCAAGATTATTATCTAATTGACCACCATTTATTTGAATAGGACCACTTGAGATGACATGTGTTGCACCTTGTGGAATATTATCTAAAATAAAAAAATTCTTTTGAAAAAATTTATTATTTAAACTAAATAACATACTTAACGTTGGTCGATTTGTTGATGATTGTTGTTGTGATGATGGTGATGATGATGGTGATGATGATGAATTAGCTGTTTGTACATCAGCTACAACTGATGCTGAAACTTGATTTAAAGTTATTCCATCTGGACCCATTTGCATGAATGTATATGGCAATGTACCTAAATTAAAACGCATCGATTGTTGCATTCCACCATTATTTGCTGTTAATGGTGTAGGAGGACGCATAGGAAGTGATGATCGTGGTGTAGCATTAAATACCTGAATAATAAACAAAAAAAAGCGAAAGTATAATAAAAATAAATACATTTTAAACAAACCATGCGAGGAACAGCACCCATTGGATTTTGAAATGGCATTCGAGCTTCTCCTGGTATCAGAGCTGGATTAGTTCCAGCTGATATTTGTATTGGACCCATAATACGAGCAGTTGCAACAGCTGTTGGCTGAAAAAGAAAAAGTTCATGTTTAATATTTTAATATCTTGAAAGAATATATTTTTTATTTACTCGTCGACCAATCGAACGTGAAGTACGTGGTAATACTCTTGTCCCTACCTCTTGACCTGGTGCAAAACCATGTCCACTATTTTGTCCTATTGAAGCAAGACCAGCTTGAGAAATAGGTAATTCACCCAAATGTAATAAACGTGTTTCAAGTGGATCATTAAGATCAAGAGTAAAATCAGTTATATTATGATAAATATGGGCAACTAAATGTGTTGCTTCATTATATAAAGAATAAAATCGTTGACGACCATTTAATTCTTGTTCCTAAACAATATATTTATTATGAATTGAAAACATTAAAATATATATATATATATTTTTTTTTTTACAGGAAATAACTTACAAAAGCATCAGTTTGTGTTATAGTACGTGAATAAGTTTGATGATATCCTTGTAATCGATGATGTTCAGCATCAATTGTATCCATTAATTCAGCTAAATCACGAGCAGTTCGTCTAAAAATTTAATTTTTTACCTTATTAGAAAAATAAATAAATATTCTTACGGTGATGCTATAGCTGGATTATTATTTGTTGTTGATGGTGGTGAAGCATTTTCTACAGGAGTGGCACCTGCAGTAGTTGGTGGTGTATGAAGTGTTTCAGTTGAAATTATAGAACCTTGTGATTCTACATCCATTTCAGTTGATGTTATATCTTCCATGCCAAGAAATGTTGTTGATGATGTTGTTGAAGGTGGTGGTGGTGGACTTTCTACTGCTGCTGCTGCTTCTGCTGTTGTAGTTGTTGTAGCTGCTTCTGCTGTTGTAGTTGTTGCAGCTGCTTCTGCTGTTGTAG